TCTTCATCATATCTATCAGCATCATTTTCAATCATTATCACGTCATTAGCATCATCATAAGTATCATCTTCAACATCATCGTCATCATCATTCTCTTCTTAACCTTTTTCACCTTTCCTAATCCATAAAGAAAGAGACACTTCAGATTTTTTTTAAAAAGTATGAAGGACATATCTTAAAACTCACCGCATCTCGAGGAGTGCGAGATTTCTTACCGGCTCCCGTTTTTGCAGTGGCCTGTTTCCATGGGCTGCACTATGTTGTAGGCGTATTATGATATGAGTTCCCTTGTTTCCACCGTCTATACACACCGTGTCGGCTCTGTGGCTAAGTCGATGCGAGCGCTTCGTAATGCCAGGGTGCCGGGATCGATCCCAGCTGCGGGCCATGCGCCTTGTGTTGGTTTCGACAGTGATATCAGGGGCCGACAGTCCAGGAAGCAATGGCAAACTACTAGACGTAAATTTGCCTAGAGAAACCACACAACAGCCATAGGCTGCTGAGGTTGGTTCTTTTGGGGAGAGTTGTTTGTGTGTGCCTACCTGGGTTAGTTCAACGTTATTCTCCCTAAACAAAGTAAGTCACGTTTCATTGACAAGTTTGTTGGGCTGGTCTACTTTCATGCAGGTTACGGGTGTCCTGCTCTGTTGTTTGTTTTATGGGTTGTCAGAAAGAGAATGCCTGTCATATCAGTTGCACACATCTCTAGTGGTATTGTGTTAGACCCACATTGTTCATGTTTTTGGAGTGTCAAAGCGCTGCCGTGCTTAAATATTCAACACGCGATATCACCGGCATTGCGGAAAACCCCTGTAACCTTGTGCCAAGATTACGTGGCTCAAGGTCTACCAATCACAAGTTAGCTAGTGTGTAACACTGTGTTAGTTGTGAGATCAACGTTAGTTCTGCCGCGTGTGTGTCTGCGAGCGGGGCTTCAGCTAGTTTTATTTATTCTCTCTTAACTATACACGTTTCTTCTGCATCCGACACTGGTTTGACAACAAGTGACATCTTGAGAAGGGCCGTCTGGGTGGGGGTTGGGGGTGGGCTTACAGAAAAGCAACGCTCCTCTGCTTGTCTCTCACCAATTTGACAGTTGAACGAAATATATGGCGAAGGTCAAGTCCCTAAGAGACGCCGCAGTAATAGCGATAAAGAGCGAACGCTCAAAGCAAGTAGCACACACAGTACCGGCACGAAATCTCGTGAGATGCGGTGAGTCTCGTGAAAAGTACCAAGTATTCTAACCGCTGGTTTGTAAAGAAAAACTGAAACAGTCATGCAACAGAAAGCCAAAGTAGAAAAAAAACGTACCGGCTGCACCACTGTAATTCGAGTTGCCTTGCCCTGCAGTGGAAAGTGCAGAGGAAAAAACGGAAAACACATTAACGTTTTAACAAATACACAGCAAATACTGTGTTTAAATTCAAATTTTAAAAAAAAATGAAATTATCTGTGTATGAGACAGAAGGCTAGGTTCATGCAAGATTACCTATATCACGTGGCATCAGGAACGCTGAAACCAATAAAACGGGAGGGGGGGGGGCAGGGGTCACTAAATTCCTTTACAATTTTTGGGAGGTGGAGGCGAACTCAGCTCCTTTGAAATAAAATAAACCAAACAGTGGGAGGCGTAGCAAGGGGCTCGTGGGAGACGGGGAGGGGGGGGGGGCAGAACTACCACTGAGGATGGTGACAAATTATAAAGAATGTGTTTTTAACGTAGGGAAATACGTGTGCATATGTTTGTGTCTCAGTGTAGGGGTGAAAGGAAATTTTCCGCACTGAGTACACCTTACATTACAATGACAATGGGATGGTAAGGAGGTTGGGGGTTGGGGGAGGGGGCATGAAATTCCCTGCACTAGGTACCACCTGAACTTGCTAGGACACTAGCCACAGGAAGCCTGAGTGCCAGAATGCCAGACTGTCTTCTTTTTGAGCAGGTATATTAGTGGATTGTTGTCTCCCATTTTTTTTTCTTCTTCTTTTTCTACCCCACCAGGACATCACACAAGCGATAAACACCCAATGACACAATGTCCCACCATGTTGGTTGTGGGCGAGGATCACCGTGGAGAGGTGCCAGAAACCGCGCTCAGCCATTAGGCCATATTTATGACCAGGCTATATTGCGGCCCCTGGCAAAGCCAGAGTAGGGCTTCCAAAAATGAAAAATTTCGTCCTAAAAAGGACGGGAAAAATATTACTTACACATTTTTAATTTGCAGCCTTATCCGTTCTCCTTATAAGTTCATTTTACTGGAGTAATTTTTAAAACAGAAATGTAGTGTCTACGACGAATCCTAATTATACCAAGGAGAGACAGGACCAGAAAAAAAAGATACCAGGAAAAGAGGGCGGAACCAGTGCTAAACTACATCAAGGAACGTCTTTTGGCAGACTACACAGCAATGTCTGGCCTCGAAGTGGTATGAGACTGACAACCAAACAGAAGGTATACAGAGCTGTAGTGCTTCCAGTGCTGCTGTATGCTTGTCAAACATTGACTTTATTAATACGTCATGCAAAGATTCTCAACTACTTCCCTGCAATATGTGTAAGAAAAATACTGAAAATCAGTTGGAAAGGCTGTCTATTACATAGAGCAGGCATTGCCAGCATCGAAAGCATCTTGATGCAGTCATAGATTGGATGGGCAGGTCACGTTGTCCGCTTGCCAGACCATTGACTCACAGAAACTAATCTTATAACAGATCCTGGACGTACAGACATTGTCCCCTGCTCTTATTGACCTAGTTCCTTATGGGCTTGTAGGTTACCTTCGGACTCATAGAACTCATGGTTTTATGACGGGTGAAAGAAAAGGGGATCTCGTCACTTGTCAGGGAGAGATGGTTTTATGACGGGTGAAAGAAAACGGGATCTCGTCACTTGTCAGGGACGAGATGGTTTTATGACTGGTCAAAGAAAACGGGATCTCGTCACTTGTCAGGGACGAGATGGTTTTATGACTGGTCAAAGAAAGCGGGATCTCGTCACTTGTCAGGGATGAGAAACACATTAAAAGACACCAGATGCCTGGCCCTCTAGCGTAGTTGGCTAAAGCGGATTGCGAGGAGACCGGGTGACGAACTCCTTGTGGTCCGGGTTCAATCCCGGGGGTAGGCAGGAAAGCCACAATTTCTCCCAGATTTACGGTATTTACAATGGAATCAAGGCCGAAAGGTTGCGATATCCATAATACCGAGCCTAATGGTTAACAACTCATGGCTTCTGGATACTAAAACAAACAAACAAAGACAGCATATCACACGTTTCGGAAATGTGTCAAAATTACCATATGATTGACCGGAGCCGCGCTAGCGCTGTCGATGGGAGACTCGCTTTCAAATCCTGCTGCGACTCACTGCAGCCACTGTCGGTGTTTGAAACCGGGCGGTTCCCGGGGTTCACACAGCCTCTAGGAAATGAGTACCAGAGTTGGCACTCTGAGGTGAATGGAGGAACGTCCTTGTAGCTATGGAGTTACGTGCGGACGGCGACACAGGTGAACAGTTTCTTACCAGCTGTCAGTACTGTTGATAGATCAATTATGGTTTATAACTGTGTGCAATGACGCTGGTTCACATCTCCCGACTTTACCTTTACCTTTACTTTTACCTCGGTAGGATTGCGCACGAGACATAACTTTGTCATTTCGACACAAATGAAGCATCTAGAGACTGCCCACACAGTCGATTGACACAAGGGATATTTGCGACCTCGAATCCCAGCATCTACATAATGCCTTGTGCGAGATGCCGCTTCAGAACCTGACGCTGAAAAGCAAAACAGGCGTTTAGAGAAAGACAGAATCCCGTTTCTATCTGACAGTGGTGTTTTTGTCATGGTGATACAAATAGTTACAACCGAGTACTCACCAGACTGCCGAGATTGTATGTAATATACCAGCAGACTAATTAAAAGCAGCACTATAATGGTTACGATTGCCAAGGCAGCTATACGTGTCTTTGTGCTACATCTGTGTTTACTTTCGTTTGGAGAGGAGCTGAAAGAAGATAAAATGAGATAGCAGAAAAAGACAAAGAGGAAGAAGGAGAAAAAGAAGAAGAAGAAGAAGTAGAAGAACAAGAAGAACAAGAAGAAGAAGAAGAAGAAGAACAAGAAAAAGAAGAAGAAGAAGAAGAAGAAGAAGAAGAAGAAGAAGAAGAAGAAAAGAAGAAGAAGAAGAAGAAGAAGAAGAAGAAGAAGAAGAAGAAGAAGAAGAAGAAGAGAAGAAGAAGAAGAAGAAGAAGAAGAAGAAGAAGAAGAAGAAGAAGAAGAAGAAGAAGAAGAAACAGAAGAAGAAGAAGAAGAAGAAGAAGAAGAAGAAGAAGAAGAAGAAGAAGAAGAAGAAGAAGAAGAAGAAGAAGAAGAAGAAGAAGAAGAAGAAGAAGAAGAAGAAGAAGAAGAAGAAGAAGAAGAAGAAGAAGAAGAAGAAGAAAGAAGAAACATAAGAAGAAAGAAGAAGAAGAAGAAGAAGAAGAAGAAGAAGAAGAAGAAGAAGAAGAAAGAAGAAGAAGACAGAAGAAGAAGAAGAAGAGAAGAAGAAGAAGAAGAAGAAGAAGAAGAAGAAGAAGAAGAAGAAGAAGAAGAAGAAGAAGAAGAAGAAGAAGAAGAAGAAGAAGAAGAAGAAGAAGAAGAAGAAGAACAACAACAACAACAAAAATAACAACAACAACAACAATAATAATAACAACAACATCAACAACAATAACAACAACAACAACAACAATAACAACAACAACAACACAAAGAAATTGGTGGAGAAGAAAAAGACAGCGGTTAGAAGTTTGTGGATAAACGCAGTCCAATACGCCGCACAGCATGGCACATCATACAGTGTCTTCAAGGGTTATATTGTACCAACTTGGTCTAACACTACACGTCTATTAATTTCTTGTTTTTCAAATCAAGGCTTGGTCGACCCAGGAGCCAAAGTAATTTCTGAAACATTACGCCTGCGTCAGAACCCGAACCTGCGACCTTCCAATCGGTAGCCGGGCATCTAATCGCTACACCACGGGGAGAGGGGGGGGGGGGGCGCACACACCAGGAGGAGATAATTTATATTCTTCGTTCGCATTATGAGAAGGAGAAAACTGGAATAAGTGCTACAAATAGGAAAGTAGGAGGGACAAGACAGTGGGAGACCAAAAAAGCAGATGCTGGGCCGTTTGGCATCAGGGTTTAGGAAAACTGATAAAAGGAAAAAACTAGAAGAAGTTGAAACCTTTGAATATCTTGGACCCCACACATGCAACGATGGCAGCTGTACTAGAGAGATCAGGACAAGACTTGATATGGCTACAGCCGTTATGTCGCAGTTGAATACCATGTTTAACAGCAAAATCAACAATGCAGTCAAGGTCAATGTTTACACATCACTGGTATTGTCTATTTTCTTATACGGATGTGGGAGCTGGACTCTCACTGTGGAAATGGAAAGGGGGATTTAGGCTTTCAAAAGTGAATGCTACAGACGCATTTACGAATTAATTATTTAGAACACAAAACTGTCAGAGACAAAATATACAAATCTGCGGCACATTGGGAACCTCTCTTGGCAGTGGTGAAACGTCGCAAGCTAGCTGGGTTTGGGCACGTGGCGAGACCTGATTCAATTGCAAAGAAGTATTTATTGTGTTTTACGTATATCCTAATAAGACCACAACTGTTGGGCTCATAGAGGGCTACGTGGTCTCGAGGCGTGGTGTCCGTCTTGAGTGCTAGAGACTTCGCGTTTAATCCCCGGTAAGGGCTGGAATTTTTTCACGTGAGCTTGGACTTGTAGTCATCCCCGCTAGTCTCTGGATAGTGAGATCGGACGCCCGTGTGTAAAATGAATTTTGAATTTAAATCTACCCAAAGTATTTCAGGATCCTCGCCGGTGCTACAGAGCCTGTGACACAGTTCTGATCTTCTTCAAACGTGAGTTAGAAGAAGAACGGAGCACTTATGGGTTACTACGCGTGTGCCATGTTGTTAATCCGTTGTTCAAACTTCAAACTTCAAGCTTGTTGAGCTGATAATGTAGCAACGCGTTACAAAATGAGTGTGATATTTTGTTTCCAAGATTTCTGACAAGCTGCAAACAGCGTAACCTATGTGGTTAGGGTTAGTGTATTTCATGCTGGTTTCATGCTGGGTTTTGTTACCTACACAAATGAATAAGTAATGAAGAAAACCTCTGTTTCAATACAAGTGGGACATTTAAATATTATTTATATATAAAAAATTAACATCAAGAGGAGAATAGGAGCCTATGAGGGGGAGGGGGGATCACGTTTTCAGGAAAAGTAATCAAAAAAATTATTGAAAATACAGGGACTGGAATTTGTGAACGCACTGTAACTGAATGTCTGTCTGTCTGTCTGTCTGTCTGTCTGTCTGTCTGTCTGTCTGTCTGTCTGTCTGTCTGTCTGTCTGTCTGTCTGTCTGTCTGTCTGTCTGTCTGTCTGTCTGTCTGTCTGTCTGTCTGTCTGTCTGCCTGCCTGCCTGCCTGTCTGTCTGTCTGTCTGTCTGTCTGCCTGCCTGCCTGCCTGCCTGTCTGTCTGTCTGTCTGTCTGTCTGTCTGTCTGTCTGTCTGTCTGTCTGTCTGTCTGTCTGTCTGTCTGTCTGTCTGTCTGTCTGTCTGTCTGTCTGTCTGTCTGTCTGTCTGTCTGTCTGTCTGTCTGTCTGTCTGTCTGTCTGTCTCACACTCGGTGTGTGTATGTGTGTGTGTATGTGTGTGTGTGTATGTGTGTGCGCTTATCAAAGAGATACACTACACACAGATGGACACACAAAAGACTAACCCCACATCCGCTTTGTCGACGTCCATACTTTAGGTACTTATGTTGCTCATGTTCCCTTTCCTGTCCTTGATGGTGGAGAAGCTCATTAGTTTTATTCCAAAGCAACACAAAGAACTACAAGAATATATAAATCAAAGAGATGCCGTCTACATGGTAAAGGTTGTCGAAATTTTTTTTTTGTTTTTTTGCAGGCTCTGGGAAGACTGGAAATGGCAACAGTGTTGTTAACACAAAGAAAGGTTTGGCTCTCTAGTGGTGTAGGCAGAAAAGCCACATTTCTCCCAGATTTACGGTATCCACAATCGAATCAAAGCCGAAAGGTTGCGATATCCATAATACCGAGCCAAACAGTTAACAACTCGTGGCTTCTGGATACTAAAGCAAACAAACAACACAAAGAAAGACGGACGAGAAGCACGAGAATGAGGAGAATGATGAGGAAAAGGATTAAGAGAAGAAGGGGAAAGACCAGCATCGAAGGAAACGTGGGGGAAATTAGCCTGAAATGTTCACCTGATCATAAATGTCACAGGTGAACCTGAACGTTTTGCGACTGATAATCAGAAGCACTCGAAAAGCAACAAAAGTCACAACAGATGAAGGGACCGGTCAGCGGGCGTTGTAGACTCAGAAGTTTCACGAAAATTTATGACAATACCCACTCATGTAATGTGCTCTGTGTTGAGAGGCACACACACACACACAAAAGCATGGGGAGTTCATAGCAAAGGTGAATGTATGTGCTTAGTGCAACAAAGCCTGGTAGATGATGCCACAACATCTAGTTTGAGAAGGGAGGTAGAGGTAGTCACTGATGGCCTGAAACCCAGCTGTACCCACATGAAATTCTTGCAGAGTGTGTTAAGAAAGACGGAGACATTTATGCTCCCCGCAGGATTGCAAGCATCCTTCAAAGGTCCCTAGCAGCTCGCATTCTCTGAATAGTATCTCCATGTTATGCAGTGTACTGGAAAACGAAAAGGCAGATAAACTGGATTGTTCTGGACCGCTTGGTGATGAACTGACGCATGACAAGCCACATATGGTTAGGGTCCTTTAGGAGGCAGTAAACTGTGTGGAGGCATAAACATATTACCAAGGTCTGAGGAGAATGGTGCTGCCTGAGGGATCAGGGGATCTAGCCGATGCTCAGCACGCAGAGAAGGGCGAGACGAATATGCAGTGAGGCTGTTATTTGTGGTACTGTCAGATTTCAAATTGTGAGCTTGCTGCTGAAGATTGTGGCCGAGCGCCAAGAAGAAAGTCTTAATTGTTGTAATGTAGAGTCTTAATTACATACCTAACATTCTAGTCAAAACAACATGTTTGACAATAACTTGAGCCAGGTTTAGAAAAATCCGCCAAACTTGTAGAATACAAACCTCGCTGACCATACTATTAGTTCGTTAGTCTTTCCTCTTGTGCCTAAACGGTATCATCAGTATTGGAACTCTGCGCTGGCTGCTGTTGGTGAGGGTGGAGCACGCATGGGAATACCCTGAGTGATGTGATGTCAATTCTAGACTTAACTCAAGTCAACTTAACTCCTCTTGTGCCTAAGACAGCGCATATGGCAGAGGTTATTGCTCTTCATGTCTGGCGGTTCGATGCAACCTGATTTAGCTCTAGGATTTACATTTGGCCTATGGATGAGCCTTCCCTGATGATGGTTCTACGCAGTCTCTCTTGGTCTTCCATGTTTTCTTGTCCCTTCCGGTTTCCTTGTTAGGGCTTGATGGGGGAGTCTTGTCCTTTCCGTTCTGAGTGCATAGTTGACGAAATACCAGCGTCGCATTGACCATGTTATTTAGTGCATATAAAAGAGTGACGTTTCTCAAATCAGTTCAGACTGGACACAGTAGGTAAGAACTGCATCAGATACACAATAGAAGAGACAAGGGCACAATTTAAAAAAAGAGTGAACCAGACTAAAGATGACCTAGGAAGGAAGGAACAGGAAGACAAGGATAAAAGGAATACACTGGGACACAGACAAGAAGGAGCGGTCTGCATATCAGGAGAGTGACACAGAGCCAGCGAGCGGAGTTACCATACTTTTAGTCATGAAAGAGGCTTAAATAAATCAGACCATAAATATAACCAGAGACTGTTGGCAGCTTCGGCTACCAACAGCAGGTTAAACGTGGTCGAAGTCTTTTTTATTTACTTCCCCTAGAATAGCATAGCATAGCAAATCTCAGTTGAAAATTCAATGAGCAGTTGGGGCTCCCATCACTACAAAACAACTCAACATCTTTAGTTCAATCACGGAGACCAGTCACAAAGTGTAGTGGCCTAACAAGATAGTATGGTTAGAAATTAGAAGTATCATTATTCGGTTTTTTTTTTTGGGGGGGGGGGGGGGGTGAGAAAGAACGAAAAAAGTTGTGGGATGGAAAGGGGGAGGGGCGTAAGTTTGTGAGCAGTGGAAAATCGGAAGTCACATTTCCTGCCAAAGACCACTTCTTCGTCCTCACGACCATCCGCTCTTGGATACACGAGGATAGATTTTTCTGCAGGAAAACTCTAGCTCTCATGTGACGCAACTCACTACCAAGCTCCTCGCCGACAACAACATCGAGATGATTGCGTGGTCAGCCATATTATCAGCCATGAACTCAACAGAACATTTATGGGATGGACTCGTCAGACGATTCAATTGGCGAGACGTCGCCCCGACCAATCTCCAACAGTTGCCTCTTGAACTCCGAAAGGAAGGGACAGCCACCCACAACAACAGATCCAGCGTCTAATAAGATCAATGCCCAAGAGAGGCCATTCTCATATACAGGCCAGAGGAGATAATACATCCTACTGAACCAGAGGTCGAATTTGCAAAGGATAAAAGTGCAAACCAAACGCAATAAGCATCATTGAATGTTCAAGTTCTTTAAGTTTCTTTAGGTCAAGACTGAAACAGTATTTACTTTTTTTTTTTTAATGGTAGAAATTTGAGGCTAGTTAATAGTTACAACTGCAATAGCGTTGGCTTTTCCAACAAATGCATAGACAACATTTTTTTTTTAAATTGCATTTTCAAAACAGGTAAAAGAATGTAGTACTGATCTGCTGGCCCCGCATACAAGGCATACAATTCGTGTAAGATTAGTATACTGATTACTGAATATGCTTCAACATTATAGCACACCGGCCATACCCATACCATAGATGCAGCAAATGAAGTAAGGTGTAGATGTTAACTGTTCCCGTAGCACACTGATTGTACACACCACGATCTCTTACTCTCATTCGTCACTTGTCGGATCCACACATAATTCCTCGTTCACACTTTCGTGCCCATGTTATTTCATCTAATCTTATGTCTTTTGCCAAAAGTCTTTTAGTTATGGTCTGTAGAATATTTCTCTTACCAGTATGAATGTTCGCATAGCTTTCGCTTTTGTAGCCAGAAAATCCACTCTTTTATTCCCTCGCAATCCTGCAAGTCCCGGACAATATATCCACATGATTCCATGCAATGTTAAAGTTACATTTGAAGTTTCACGAATAAAATAAGCATAGCAACTGCACAATAACCACTCCTAAAAATAATTGAGTTCAGTTGAGTTGAGTCAAGAATTGACATCACAGCACTCGATGCCTTCCCATGCGTGCTCCGTCCTCATCTACAGCAAAACTGATGGCACGGGTCACAGTCTGGTTGTATGTCCGTCTTGCCTTTCCTCTGAGTGTAGTGAGCCGGCCATACCCTCTGGTCACACCCAGAGGTCTCATTCTCCCCAGGCCATAATAATCTTCTTTCTCTACTGATTCCGTTGATTATTCCCAAAGGACCTTGGCCACATCTGCCTTGTCATGTAATAATTCACAACCCAGTGGCGCAGATCCAGTCAATCTGTTTTCGTGTTCATTACCGACCACGCCTGCATGGCCCGGAGAAAATAAGTATGCCCACTACACGTTACCTTTACAGTGAAGCTTGCCCCTCTGCTCGAAGCATCCCTGTATACGCCTTTCTCAGCATGCTTTCAGAGACAGTTACAATTACGACATGTGTTTGCATCTTGTTGTCTAGCCACCGGAAAGCGTCAGTTACTGTCTCCACCTCCATACTCATGCTAGAGTAGATGTTGTCGTATGCTAGGCTGTCACTCTTGAACTACAGATTTTCCTTTGGTCCGACAAATAATATACCATACATACCTGATTTGTTCTCATGACGACTAGCTCAAACACATGAGGGTAACGTGTTCTGCCTTTGGATGCCTCGGGGAAGTTGGTTTGTTTGTTAGAATCTGTGTACGTTTTAGATGTGTTTGGGATGTGTTACTAAGGGCGCTAAGGCCGACGAGGTATACGTCATACATATTTGCGCTCTTAGTAACAATTATCAACATTAGGTGCCTTACCGACTGGCTTAGATGATCAAACCTATTCACAATCCGCGATCGTCAACTACGCGTTTCAGTTTGTGTGTTGACACCTCTTCATGCCATAAAAGAAGGATATCAAGAATCACCTCGTGTTGTCTTCCTCTGTTTCTCTTTTCACAGTATGACTTATGTAGAGCCATAATCACATTAAGCCAGGTGTAGAGAGTGGCCAGAGGGGGATAATGAGGTGGAAGTCCAACAGTTGATTCACGACAATTCTCGTTCTGATGATCTAATTATCTACACACATGGTTCTGTATTGAGAGGGAAGAAAAGTGCCTGACGTTTTGTAGCGAAACCCAATGGAAAATCTTTAGTGCAGGACAGCCTGGCATATGATCCTACAACATCTAGCATGCGAATGGAGGTGGATGCGGTCACTGCAGCTCTCTGATGGCTAGAGAACAAGATACATACACATGTCGTAATTGTAACGGACTCTGAAAGTATGCTGAAAAGGGTAAAGACAGGATTGCCTTGAGCAGAGTGGCAAGCTTCACTTGCAAGGTAACGAGTTGGGAGGATACTTTGGATCTTTTCTCTAGTCTATGCCGGGGTGGTGGGGAATAAATAGACAGACAGACAGGCTGGATCTGCATCGCTTGGTGATAAACTGATACATGACAAAGCAG